CTCCGGTTTTACGAGTCGCCATACACGGGTGTGCTTCCGTGTGAAATGTATATATCGTTTATGAGACCAGTGCGTCGAGAAATCTCGACAACGTCGCAGTAAACTAGCCGAAAGAGGAATATATCTCAGTGGATCTTTAGCGGTTTCCTCTCTTACGTTACATCCTCAAGAGGAGAGGAATTCTTCTGAAACCAAAAGAAAGGTATCCTAACATCCAGAGAAAGGAATTCTAATTGCAAGATGCTATTTCCTTTGATCCTAGGTTCTGTACCGAGAAAGATATTCTTGAAAATTTATTTGTCAGGTAAAAGTATCTTTCACAGAGATAAACCGTATCTCATAGAAATAAACTTTAACCCACAAATAAATGTTTAAGTATTTTTTTCTCAGTGTGAGTGAAAACTTTCACTGAAAGGGTAGTTTAATGAAAAGGAATAATACTGTGCTTAGAATATTTTCCTTTTGCTTTTAGAATAATCCTCATGAGGCCAGATGTAAAAGGATTCTGTTAAGGATGGAATGCTACTTTTTTTTTGGACGACATAACAGCGCAGTTGTGGCGATGCAATCGTAAAATCTCGTTTGTGTTGATTATAATTGACTCGAAATTGTAGTTGTTTATAACTTGTGCTTCTCATTCCGCCCTCTCTACGAGCGGATTACACGCGAAAGGAACATTGCCTTACGTTCCTTTCTTATACTTATTATCATTGTGGTCAATGCGAAAGTAATTTGCGAAAGAAAAAATCGTTATTTTATATTTCATAATATGCAAACAATAATAACGAAATATTTAGTTGAGTATTAGGCCATATGTGAAATGTGGTATTATTATGTTATATCTAACGTAATCGAATTACTATGTATCGTCATTGTGTTTTATATCCGAATTGAAATTTTGGTTCTACGTTAATCCTTCAAATATATATTATTAAAAAGAATTTCTTAAGATGTACCATTATGTAGGCTATTGTCCTATTTTAACTACGTAACTAAAATAGTTAATATTACTATTTTAATACTACTTAACTAAAATAGTTAAGTGTTACCGTTTTCTTTATGTTGAGATTTAAAGAAGTATTTATTCAGGATTTATAAATACACAACATGCGAGAGTATCAAAACAATCAATACTAGAAATTTCTAGCATCAATAAAAAAATAACAAAGAGGTTGTGAGAGGAAAGTTTGTTGTTTTACTTACCTATTTATCTATTAATCTTTATTAATTGTATCATTTTTATATAATAAACTGCAGAGACAAAGTGTAACTGCTTGTTGCAATACATTTTATATGCAGTTGAATAAGTTACATAATTAACACATTGCTTATTAAAATAAAGAATTGAAAAAGGATTAAATGCACAGGTAGACTACTGATATTAAATGATTCTTAAATAAAAGTCCTTTAAGTCTCAACAGAGTAGCAGTAAGTAACGACTTGTGGCATCAAAAGACAGTATGATGTTTAAGTTTTACATAGTTCCACATAGTTCAAGATTCTCCATTGCCCTGGTCCTTCAAGTTCGAAATTTGCGAGACTAATGTAGAACCAAAATATCAACTCGAGAAAATGGAGACTGCTTTTATCAAAAATAAAAATATGTAGAAACATCTTTACTGAATTTGTATTATTACTTTCAAATTATATATATAATCTAACATCATTAGGCTTCAGCTAAGACCTGCTGCTAGATTTACTATCGATGGGGAATAGATCTGCGCCGAGAGACCAAGAGAAGAGAACGTCATTGTTTAGTCATAATATTTAATTAGTCTCAATTAAGTATTAAGATGTCGTTCTATAATTTCTGCGCAGAGAAACGAAGTACTCTGAAAGTAATCCTTTAGGAAGATTATCTTTCGGAAGATCATGCGAATACTGTGCCAAGTGTAGACTGCCAATGTAAGTGTTGACTACGTGAAAAACAACGCGATGCAAATTTAACGAGAAGTTCCGATCCACCTGAGTTAACATTATGCTCGGTAAATGTATTATGCTCGGTAATTGTATTAATTACGTAAGAAAACCATTTAGAACTAGTAACAATTATCCAATAATGATAATATATAATGATAGAGGCTTATAAATGTGGTTAATCGTTTTAGCATACGCCGATGTAACATGTTCCAGCAAATTGATTATCCATTGAGCGACTCGAATCGACTAAGTCAAAATTCTAACGAAAAGAATGGAATGTATATTCTCTCTGCTAGATCTGTGAGAATTAATCTGTAGAAATTTTCATGTTTTCTCGTGAACTCCACCACGTCGTAGAACTAGCTTTACCAGAAAAAAATTACACATTGTCAACGACAGAGAAATCGAATTTTCTCTGTGGATACCGAAATCGTAGCTGAGGCTGCGATCTAGAAGAATACGGCCGAGGCTGCGTTAACACGGCTACTAACACGACTGTGGGGAAAAAAACTTAGACGTTACTTTCCCATTAACGAGATATCATTGATTTGTTCTGACCGTTCGAAAAAAAAAAAAAACAAAAAAAAAACAAAACGATCCATTCGAGCGAATCGCGGCATGTTTCGACGCCGAGCCGAAAGAGCTGAAAGGGCCGCCGATGAAATCAGTGATCTCACCGTCGCCCTTTCTGCGGCCTGTTTCAGAATCCAAGAGGGAGCACTGCCGAGTCAACTACGACTCGCCCTTCACGTGTCATAAATGCGGCAGGCGTTACACGTGGACGGACTCCCTGACGAGGCACCTGCGCGAGGGCTGCGGCATGCTGCCGAAGCACAATTGCACGCTTTGCGGCAGAAAGTTCAAACGCAAGGATTACCTTCTGCGCCACGAAAACAACGTGCACAGGTTGGAGAATTAGTTGCGGCGTCAGGAATCCGTCGTCGTCGGAAGGAAGGAGCCGAGCCTATGCGTCCACCGCGACCTGACCCCGATAACGATAAGCCTGAGTCGTCCTGAGCCGAATCGATACCTGATCGCACGAGCATGAGCGCAACTTCTCGTGGCATCAAAATTCGTGAGGCTTTTCTCTCGATGCAATTAAAAACTTAGAATTTTAATTCGTGTTAGTATAATTAAGCGTGCGTGCGTGCGTGAGTCGGCGATTTGCACGAGTGTTGCATTATCTGTGTTTCAGGGGGATACTTCGAAATGATTATCCCTTGTCGGCCGATACTTTATTTTAACATGCCGATTTTTGTGTAATTTACACGAATTTTTCTTTCGAACAAATAGCATATTCCATAGTATAATCGTTTCGTAGCGCGAATGAGGATGTATTCGATTAAATATCGGCAGGAGATAAGAAGATAAATATTACACTTAATATCTTTAATATAAATTTTGCAGGGAGCTTATGTCTCTTCAGTGAGTTTGCCTGCAACTATGATGTGGACATTGTTGTAACGGATCAGGGTCGGGAAAATCGTACTACTGTGATTTCATTCGAAAGAAATATCCTTTTCTACGTAGATATATGACCAGGAACAACACTGGCGTTTTAGAGGGCGACAATGTGTACTGGCGTGTCGTAATTTTTATAGATGCGAACAGTCGTGTATCCATGAGTATATACTTAACACGTTGATTGCTGTGAGGTCAATGAAGACCAGCGCTGTTCAGTATTGTGCTTACATGATCTTAATTGTGATGTCATTTCTCGACGAGTTCCAATCGATCTCACTCTCAATGTAGTTTGATATAGTACAATACGGACATAGTACTAACGCAAACGTTCACTATGAAAAAAGTAAAAAAAGAATTCAGTATTTGAAGAGACTGATTGCATTAACGCGATATTTTTTAGACTAGTTTTAGTGGAAATAAACAGAATTTCTGGCTATTGTGACGAGATGTACTCCGATAAGTAATCAAAACACAGTTGCAATACTGGTCAAAGTTTGGTTACTGCGCATAATAATCAGTACTGGTTATAATAACTAGTTTCTGGTTATTATAACTACATTGAGAGAAAAAAGGAATATGGTTTAATTAAAGTGACATGTTTTTGAACGACTGTCGCTGGATAGAATTTCGCATTAAAGCGTAACGAATCAAATATGTGACCAATAAAGAGCTAATAAAATTATCTAACGAGCATATATATACATCGGAAAATATATATAAAATATATAAAATATATATAAAATATATAAAATATATATAATATATATAAAATATATTATATATATTATATATTATATATTATATATTATATTATATATTATATATTACATATTATATATTATATATAATATATTATATTATATATTATATATCATAATATTATATACATATATATATATATATATATATATATATATAACGTATATATATGTTTATATTTTCCGTATATATTCACTTTAGTTGACTTAAAGTTTAGTTAGAGGCTTCAGGACAATATCATAGGAATCAGCGTGTGGCAGTCAGCATGTTAAGTATGACAAAGTGATAAATGTAAAGTAGTACTTTATCATCGAGTTAGATAGTAGCGTATAAAATTATGTGTAGTAATGTATAATTCTCTTCGAGATATCGGCAACGCTTTTTCGTACCTGTGTATAATTTATCATATTTTTTCTTTATAAAACACCAACTCTGACAATGTGTATTATGATAAGAAGATATGTATGTATTGAAGATTGTGTCCGTGGATCATGGCGTGAGAATAATATGTGGAATCGAGAGATTTTGCTATAAAAAAGAATTCGGTGTAGAAATGCAATACGCAAGTCGATGTGTTTGAGTATATGACGAATTAGATGCGATAAATTGACTGAGCAGTACGAGAGGCATGGAGTGAGTGCAGAGAACGAATTTTAGATGTAGATGATATTATTAAGAAAGAGGAACAAATAATATCTGTACTGTCGATTCACCGACGTCACATGAGTTATAAACGTTTATCTCGCGATATTCGTTTTGCTTACGTTTATTATTATACAAGACTTAACAGTAAATTACTGTGAATTACTGTATAAAACGGCAGAATCGTATGAAACGGCGTAATGGTTTTCTAAACGATGAAGTCTGACAATTCAGCGTTACAGCATAGAAAATATAGCATTGGTACATTTTCTGATCTGCATTTTTCTTTCAATAATTTCGCAGCTCCCACCATTTCAGTTTAAACAGACACGCAATATGCCATCCAACAGCGTTTAACTAACAGCGAAATTTATGTAGCAATTTTGATTGCAGCTTAATAGTCTATTCTGTTATCTGCTAGCAAAAATAAAAGTGTACTTGGGTGCACGGAGAGAAAAATATCTAACAAATAAAAGATACTTATTCGACGAGCACTAATAACATATTTACTCAATATAAGATATTTTGCATATAAGAAGATGTATATTTTCTCAAAAACTCTAACTTTTCATGAAAGCAACTATTTATTTCACTTAAACAAAAGAATTTATACTTGAATACATGTTATCAGTATTCATCGAATAAATATCTTTTATTTTTCAGATATTTTTCTCTCAGTATAGAATTTTGAGAGGGAAAGTTACATACAAGACGAGTAACAATGACGATTATGTATAATAATATGGCCAATGGACTTGCTTCATGACCAAAAAAGACACACATACATATATAGTATATAATCTACCATTTTCGTGTATAACGCAGGACTGAGAAGAGAACGCTTCTCTGTGGCATTCGGAAGGAAAATTTTACGGATTAATAGTTTGGCAAACAGGTCGACAGAATCGATACGGCGATCGTGTTGGGGAGAACTAGCGGGAAAAACGTAATCAAGTAATACACGTGTCGTGTGAAAAGCAATAACACATGAGCAGTACACATTCGATCCCAACAGACATGCGAATGCGTCACGGGATAGGCATGATAAGCAAATCGTCGCATCTAGACTTCGACTGCATTAACACATCGTCCATTGCTTCTTGCAGATCCGCCAACGCACGTCATGTCGGACTATTACAAGAGATTGGGACGGCACCTGTGCACTGCCTGCGGGAAAGAGTACAGATGGATGCAGTCGTTGATCAGACACGAACGGGAGGAGTGCGGTAAGGACCCGCAACACAGTTGCCCCTTGTGCAACACGAAGATCCGACACAAATGGATGCTGAAGAAACACCTGGTCAACGTTCACAAGTGGACCAGCCCGAATGGCAAGAACTTTTGAAAGGATTCACGGGAGTCCACGAGAGACGCACGGAAATCCAAATAACAATGAAGACTTCCACAATCACTTATCACAATTGTCACTCTATCTTTGTTTATTTTCTTGTAAGATATTGGTTTTTTAGAGACATAAAGAGGTGTGACAACATGAATAACGAAACGATCCACTACATACTCAGTGAAAAATGACGTCGTTTCGACGTCGATCGAAGAGTCATTTCTCACTGGGTAGATATAACAATTTGTTGAATTAAACAAACGTTTCTTTGGGATGTTCCAAACAAAGTTTTGATTGACGCAACAAAAACATTTCGTTGGAACTACTGCAACTAAATATTTTTATTATGTCAAACACGATCGATTTTGTTCGATCAATCAAAAAATTTGTCTGGACCATTGCAAAGAAGCGTTCATTTGATTCAACCAAATCGTTCTCTTTGTGCATAAGCCTGAATGGGACACTTACTCCTGCGATTTCGAGTGACAATATTTTTACAATTGCTTCGAGTGAAAATACGGCCACTTTTCACTCGTTCTGAGCGAGCTTCCACTTCGAAAAATTTCGGGAGTTTAACATTCGCGCGTTTTGACTTTAATAGTGTTAGGGCTGTATAAAGAAAAATTCGAACCCGCTGTACTTAAGTAATATTACGAGTGAAATCATTTTCACGTGCAAATGAGAATCATTTATATTAGTAATTACGTACTATGCGTTCTTCGCCGTAGTAAGATATTAAAAATAATCTAATTTTATCTTTGAAGAGAGACTTTATCAATGAATTTTATCATCTCATAAAATATTCAACTTTGAATTGATGTATGATTCAATTTTATTTTTACTATGTCATTATTGTTTGATCGTTTGAAATTGTATGTAATTGTGCATGTTTACAATACATTTTTGTTGGCACATGGAAGAATGACTTTAAATCTTTACTTTGGCCTCACGTCCGAAAGTGTCATTGTCACCGAATGCCAGTGTATAGAATTCCTGCGCGTGTGTTTTCACTATCATTGATAATAGTCATGTCTTTAGAAAACAGCGTACACCCCAGATACTTGCTTTATATACAACACGAAGCAAAGAAAAACTTAAGAGAGAATTTGACGTGGTATTTTCAATCATGACTTGTTCTCTGTCGAAATAAACATTGTAACGGAAACTCATACATCAATGAAGATCACGATTGGCACTTTATTTTTATTTATTTTTTTATAAAATATTAACTTTTTAAATTATGGAAAGATGTAAAAATAGGAATAACAAAACGATTCACTCTTGAGTGAAACAACACTCACTATTGTATTTGTGCATAGGCTCCTGAAGGATCTTTGTATATTGATTTGATTAAACACTGCAAATATTAGAATTGCGTCCATTGCTTCTATTCTTTGTGTAAGTGCGTAAAACGCAAACATAGATGATAGATGAGAAGTGAAGACGCGATTCTGGAAGGAACATTTCTGCGAAAGAGATTCTTGATTGCGATATATATTTCGAGTAACGAATTTGAGCGAATCATTTATCTTACGAAAATGAGAAGGGGCGTGTTGTACGATTTCAACAAACTACACCGCGTGACGGCTTTCAGCTCATCGATCGGCGATTTTGATGAGCTATCTACAGGCAGCCCAGAACACATGCTGATAGCGTGCTTTTTTTGCAGGGCGCATCAAGTCCAACTATCACAGACGGTACCGTGGTGAATACGTGTGCGACGATTGCGGTAAGCAGTACACATGGAAACCATCTTTGACGAGGCACAGACGTGAGGAATGTGGAAAAGAGCCACAATTTAGGTGTCTGATGTGCAACGCGAGAACTCGCCGAAGCTCTCAGATGAAGCAACACATGTTATACGCCCATAACATGACGAACGACGTGTACTAAATATACGCAAAAAAGGAGAAAAATAAAATTTATCAGCGAAGAATGAGAAACAAGTTGAAAATAGCCTTGTTTTTCTTCGTCCTGCTTTTTGTTCGCTACTTCAGCGCCATTGTCGTCATATTGGGTGATGATTTTTATAACGTTCGTTGATCTTACATAATTATCTCCTTGTCCACAACCTTGCTTCAATTCTTAAACCGCAAGAAATTGACCAACAGTTCATTATTTTTAAAATAATCAATTGTGGTTGGTCAATTTATTACGGCTTAAAGATTAAAGCAAGGTTGTGGATAAGTATGTTGCGCTATATACTAGTTTAAACTATTCCGCGTTTCCTGGGTTTCTCATATCTAAAATGTCTAAACTTAAATTATCACAAAGTGTCAAGGGGATGAGAAGTCAGGGAGAGGGAGTGAAGTATCTAGGTTTCATACAGCCTATATTTTCCGCAGGATTCCAGAGAGTGGAACTATGCAAAATTTGGTCCAGATCGGTCAAAGGATTCAAGAGTTAATAGGAAACATACAGACAAATGTTATATATATATATATATATATATAAATACGCGTACAACGATTGCGGTAAGCAGTACATATGAAAACCATCTTTGACAAGCACAAATATGAGAAAAGAGTCACAATTTAGGTGTCTGATGTGCAACGCGAGAACTCGCCGGAGCTCTTAAATGAACACATGATTTACGCCCGTAACATAACGTGTACTAAATGTACGCAAAGAAAGAGAAAAATAAAATTTATCAGCGAAGGATGTAAAAAAAAATATATATATATATACAGGATGGTATGTAAAATATTACAAGCTAATAACTCTACACATATTTGTTCTATCAAAAAGTTGTTTATGAGAAAGTTTTATATATTCGAGAGGCCTTTCTAACTACGTAAACCAAAATCCACTTCCGTCCCCCCTTGAAAAGAGGGGGGGGGGTAACTTCAAAGTTTCAAATGGGATCCCCTATACAATGTTACATATTTGGATTTCACGGGAAAAATAAGTAAACTTTGTCTGAAACATTTCTTTGGAAAATGCTCCTATCAAAAGTTATAAACATTTAAACTTTAATGTGGAGTGCATTGAAATTAATGATAAATTAAATAAGACACATAGTTTTTCTGTTTTGTTTTATCTTATTAAATATTCGAATTGTTGACTATTAACATCTAAACACTTATTCATTCTTTTTGCTTGCACTAAGGTGACCCCAGAAATGTTGTTTAGAGTTAGGCAAAGTTTTGTAAAAAGAATTAATAAATATTTAGATGTTAATGGTCAACAGTTCGAACATTTAATAAAATAAAACAAAACAGAAAAACTATGAGTCTTATTTAATTTATCATTAATTTTAATACACTCTACATTAAAGTTTAAATGTTTATAACTTTTGATAGGAGCATTTTCCAAAGAAATGTTTCAGACAAAGTTTACTTGTTTTTTCCCATAGAATCCAAATATGTAACATTGTATAGGAGATCCCATTTAAAATTTGGAAGTTACCCTCCGCCCCTCTTCAAAGGGAGACGGAAGTGGATTTTTACGTAATTAGAAAGGCCCCTCGAATATATCAAACTTTCTCATGAACAACTCTTTGATAGGACGAATATGTTTAGAGTTATTAGCTTGTAATACTTTACGTGAGCCACCCTGTATATATGTATATATATATATATATATATATATATATATATATATATATATATATATTGTATGTAATTATATATGTCCACACGGAAAAATTGCTGTGAAATCTGTTGATTAGTTACCGCGGTCATATTGGACTGATGATGTCAGAAGCGTGGAAAACCATACCCAAAATTCTCGCGAACTACGGCTAAATAAAAATATATATCATTAAAATGACACTTACTATCTGTTCTACACATTTGTGAAATATGTTCCGAATACTCTTCTTTTACCGAAATAATTATTACATAACCGCAAAATAAATGTGACAAATCGCCTTGTTTTGACAGAAAATCAGCTGTGACTCGATGTGTAGAATATGGCCAAATAACTACTTATACGCATTAAATATCATTTATTTACATCACTAGGTTTGTTCTTTTTCAATAAACTTTTACACTAGTGTAATAAATTAGAGAGAGACAAACATACTACAAGTATACTTTTTCACTCTAACTTATTGCAATAGTCTGCATTAGTACAGAAATTATTCAGAAACAAACAGATCTACTTTTTCGCTTAATAGTTCGTCATTTTGCCGTTTACAATATAATGTCGCTTTCAACGAGGAATTCTCGATTAACTGATCAGAAGTCTTAAATGAAAAAAGAATCCAGATATCACAGAACGTCCTGAGATTACGTTAGGTACTCAAAGTATCTTGGAGATATTTAGAATGATTTTGAAACATTTTGTGCTGTCTGGAGAAGAAATAGTTTTATTCCATTAGACATTGACATCATGAGCCGTTGGAAACATTTCCTTCGATGATATTTGTACAACAGCATTTTTCTCGATATGAACGTATATAATCATATAATCGTTCTTTCCGTGTAGGACGTCCCTAAAGTAAGTCGTCCAGCTTCCTTCAGGAGCACATTTGATTTTAATAATTACGAGAAACGACGTTTTCCCTTTGAGGAATAAACAATGTTTTCTTGCGCTCTCAACTAGCACCGGTCTCGACGTTGTTTAACATGTCGCGGCCATCGAAAAGAAGATTCAAATTAGGGCCTTCGTGAATGCATATCCGATTGTCTTGTACGTTGGACTTTCTAGCATGCACGCCATCGACGTTAAAATCGGCCCTCATTCCAACGCCAATAAAACCAAACTTGTTGCGTGTGTTTCAGGCATACAGACGCGCTTGATGCGCTCGTTATACCAATGCAACACGTGCGGCAAGATGTACAAATGGCGAGAGTCGTTGAGTCTGCACAAACGGATGGAATGCGGTATCGAGCCACGCTTCGCTTGCAACGTCTGCGGCAGAAAGTTCAAACACAAGCACCACCTCATGAAACACTACAAGTCGATCCACGGCAGGGTAGTTGCGAGTAATTAACTACTTTCTTTTAACAATTAATCGTCGTCTAATTAACGATTAATACACTGAGGGAAAAATTACCTTAAAATCAACAAATATTTCTTTTATGTATGCAATTAACATATTTACTTAAATCTAAATTCTCTTTATTTTAATCTTGTTATCAATATTGTTTACCTGATTTAAGTAAACAATATTTGGTTTAAATAAAGAGAATTTAGATTTGAAATGAATATGTTAATAGCACTCATCAAAGAAATATTTGTGATTTTAAGATAATTTTTCCTCAGTGTAGGAGCCAGCTTAATTGGGGACCGTTTCAACTGCCGATTGATTTCAACGAATTCAATTAAAAACCGTTCCATTGACGATTGATATGAATGAAGGGAATCAAACATTGTTCATTTATGGTAATTCACTACTGTATGATGTACTCTCGACCATACAGAATTTAGATTCCACTTGTAGTAAAAAAAATCGCGGTTTTTCGACATCCTCCTTTAATTACATGTGTTTTGTTTAAAGTAACCTGATAAATTTGGTGTTACAATAATAAAATTGCTTCTTAAGGTATTAGCGTATTTTTTATTATCCTGCTTGAAACTCGAATTTAATCGAAAACCGTCTGATGACGATTGATATAGCCGGTACATCAATCACTAATTAAACAATCTTTCATTAAATTTGCCAAGTTCAAATGGTAATTAAACGATCTTTGATTCCCTTCCCATTCATACCAAAAATTGTCAATCGAACGATCTTTAGTGAAATTCATTGAAATGGATCGTCAATTAAACATTCTTTGATTGAATTTGCTCAAATCAATCGTCAATAAGTTCGATCAAGACGTTTTTGTTCGAATTAATTGTTAAATTGAGAAAACTTAACTAATATTTTTATAATTCCAATTCACAAATATGTCCAATGAAGAGAAGAGAATAAAAGAAAGAAGCGAAATATACACGCGACGCTCATTTAAATTCATCAAGTAACGATATTATCACATAATGTTAATCACTTAAAAACGATATTATTCTAACGCGTGGCCGATCTGACCTTTTGATCATTTTTTAAAGCATTTCATCAGCTTCATCCAGTACAAACAGTTTGATATTGCCTGTTGATTCGAAGCGATCATCATTATTGTAAACTCCTCCAATATATTGGAGTTTAACATGTATCCTCATCGCAAACGTCAACGCTGTCGATGTATGCGTGGCACGACGCATACACAGAGAATCCCCTAGAGTGATAGAGACCTTCTGGATTTGTCGTGCGAATTCACGGATGAACGCGAGAATTGAGAGTCGGCATACGCTCTCATGCTCTCTCGGTGTCAATCTACTGAAGAGCCGATATTCAGAATGTTGCAGTCTTTCTAGTGCGACACACCAGGCCTGAACGATGACATCGAGTCCTCTTATATGCGCTACAAGATGGCACATACTATGTCACGATGAATCGCGAATAATTTTTTTCAAAACAACCGATGCACATGTACCGCGCAATAAATCCTTCGAATTTATCTTGACAAAGTAACATAATAACGTATTTCCTAAAATAAAGCAGAGAAACCAACCCTTATGTGTCTTCATTTGTTCCTCTCTGTTTTCGTTTATTGTTACGGTTGTACGTTAAATTTACACGACGCGGCGACTTGCTTTTTCCTTCAACGCTATTAATCACTCCTTCACTCCGAAATCCTCGATTTCCCGATGCGATAACAGTGTTCAGTTAATAATTTCAGTTGAAATGTGCACATTTACAGTGATACGATTATCTTGGCAAAATTTGTATGTATGTAGATATACAATGTTCGAGTTACTCACATAGAAATGTCTAAATATTGCCCAATATTGGAACAATGTCATATCGTGCTTAATTGCCATTGTTAATGAAACACTGGCAATAAAAAACTATGTACTCAAATAAAACATTTATGTAAGATATATTTATATTAACATTTATATTTATTTGTTTCAGTTATCTAGGTTATTTATATTAAAGACATTTTAATAAATATTTAAATAAATTAAAAAATAAATAAAGAAAATTTAATTAAATTCTTAACATAGACAACAATTTTACAATGAAATTTTAATTTTAGAAAATATTTGCTGGACATAAAAAGCAAAATTTAGAGTATTAAATTTCTTCTATAAAGAACAATTATTACATAATTGCAGCAAATAATTCATCTAGCGGTTCAATAGTCATTGCGATACTATCAGCACTATAGACCAGTGTTGAGTCAAAACCAAACCTTGACCTGTCTGGTCGACGCTGGTTTACACACATTTTTTTATGGCCATTATATATCCCCATTTGTCAATCAGTACCGACACGAGATGACTGAGTCGATATTTAGCTGGTCAATCGATATAGACAATTTCTACGTGAGTCAACTCGTTGTCAAATATATAACATTGCATTGTATAAAATCTTTATCAAATTATTTCCTGGCTCTTGGCCAGTAATAGCGTAAACAGAAAGATTAGGATAAAACTTATACAATACCTCAGTTGACAAAATGCCCCACATTTTTTCTCTAAAATTAAAGGTACAAACAACGCAAAAGCAACATGTCTCAGTGCATGTTAGAATACAAGGCGGACTTCGATGTTGTATCGCTAAATGTATCGAAAAAAGAAACTTTTCAATGCTGTAAAATATATTTAAATATGACATACCTACAACTTTATATTTTCCTTAAAAAGAATTTGTAACACCCAAATATAATTTATTTAAATGAAAACAGTATAAACAGTGACTCTGTAATTTTATCTACTAACTTGTTATCTATCTCTGACATCTTACGGATAAAGTATAGAAATTATAAAACGTCTCACACGTAGCAGGTGTAATATATATCCCACTAATTATATAAATTATTTACAAATATTGTTTAGAAACCTTTCTTTTTCGTATTTCAATTTGTGATAATTTCTTTAAATTAATTAAAAACGAATTAAAGAAATAATTAACTACTTTTGATTTGAAGAGATAATGTTTGCAGTTAAATTAAATTAAATTAATGTTGCAGAATAAATTAAAGTTAAAACAAAGATATACATGTAAAAGTAAAGGTTTTATTGGTTTTTACTTTATTAAGGGGCGTATTGTATAGTTTTATCCTACGAGAGGTATTATTGTGATTATTTTCCTAATCGCGTGACAAAGAAACCAAAACGTTTCATCGTGAAATGTACCACAAAGACGTACTATTCATAATCTGCCTTTCAGGTGTGACGAGCAGGAAAATGACCATAGGCTGCTTTCCGTGCAGGAAGTGCGGGAAAATCTACGATCTAAAGTCGTCTATGTACACTCACGTGCGATGTTGCGGCAAGGAGCCAAGGTTTACGTGCCATTTTTGCTCCAGGAAGTTCAAGTACAAGCATCATCTTCAGAATCATATTATAGCACTTCATAGAAATGTTATGGTATAACGCGCGAGATGAATCTTTTTTTCAAAATCTTCCTACTTTCTAATAGAACGCGCGATAAAGTGAACCGAAAATTGCACAGAAGAAAAGATCAGTTGAATAAAGGGAATCAAATCTAAATTCAGGGATTAACCAGATTGTTCAGTAAGAAATGAACTGACCATATTTGAAATTTAAAATAAACGATTATTTTGCTTGAAATTAACTATCTAAAAATCGATTCAGTGGCATATCACATTGTATTTGAAAAATTCGATTCTAATTTTTGAATTGTGAATCATCTGTCTAGACGCTATGCCACTTCTTCAATTGATAGATCTGTCGTATTATTGCCAAACTATGTTGTAACCAACGTTGAATATCAGATGTCATATCACGTTAATCCAACCGTGCTTTTTCTCGCGTGTAGTCGTAATAACCAGACACTTGGATGTTATTACTACACACGCAGTAATTTAAGCTAAATGTTCCGATCGCATACCAGAATATCTGGTTGTAACAACTGGTTTGTAACAATCGGTAAGTGTGTTTATCTTCGTGAAAACTTGCTCAACCAAAGATGTCATATTAATTCAACCAGGCACTTTTTTCTTGTGTGAGATTAGCCTGATGTGTTTTCATGGAAGTTCTCTAATAAAGCAATGAAACTGTAACCACGTCTTTTTCATTGTTCTCACGTCTTGTTTACTGTTTTCATTGTTTCATTATTCGTGGTCTCAGAGGTAAATATGCGTGCGTGAAAGCAGTTCAGCTCAAAACTGAACGTGAAATATCCCGCGAATGAGCTCATCGCTAATTGGTGTAAATAAGTTGAGTATATGTGCAAACCTAAATTCCACAATTATTGACTGGCTGTTGACTCTACTCGCAATGCACCCATTAAGATCAACGAGATTATTACAACGGCACAAATCGACGATGCGTTTTGTGTGCACAGCGTATGCGCGCGTCTGGTGCGACGCGTGTGTTGTGTGTATGTGTGTATTGTGCACTCCACGGACTCTTCGAACTCACCCTCCTATTCGGTATTAACGTTTACGCAATTAACGAGATCCTAAGAACTTCGGGCGCGATATCGCCCGTCTCGCCGTTTCGAGCGCGGGCGCGAGAAGAGATTTCGCGCGTCTACACGCACGCATCACTCATAATCTGTCTTTCAGGTGAAGCAGATCAGATGGCCACAATGTTTCCGTGCAAAGTGTGTGGCAAAGCCTACTTTCGCAAGTCGTCGATGTACACCCACCTGCGCCATTGCGGCCAGGAACCCAAGTATACCTGCGTTCTCTGTGGCAAGAAGTTCAAGTACAAACACAGGCTGCAATCACATCTCACGTCGAACATTCACGTGCCTCGGCCATGACGACAATAAGTCGATGGCGCGGGGCAAAGGATGCTGCATCGGACGCTTCATTGAAGATGTAAATTGACATCTAGTGTTTCCTGCTCGTCAATCAATAAAGAGACAATTTTATTTCTCCAATAAAAGTAGTCTTGCACTGATACCCCACAACATTCGCCATGAATTTCTAAGAAGCAGATCGATCGCAATCATATGTCGGCACATAAAAGAGGCCCGATCGTTTCTTTCTGATGCTTCCAGGCCGGTTCGATGAACGCGCATCACTCCTTAAGAAGGATATAATTCGCATACATCTTGTTTACATTGAGACGCAATTTTACACAAAAGTAAATCGTGCAAGTTTAATTCGTATGTGACGAGAACGATTTCCTAGCACGGACTTTTTCTTCCTCCTTGTATAATGCTTGAACGTGAAAATCGACAATGTACATTGACATTTACAGTGTCGGCTGTCAATATCAATAAAGAGACAGTTTTATCTCCAATAAAAGTGGTCTTTCACTGATACCCCATGACACTCGCCGTAAATTTCTCAAAAGCACATCGATCGATCACAAACATATGTCGGCGGATAAGTGAGATCCGATCGTCGCTTTCAAATATTTTCAGGCCGGTTTGATAAACGCGCATCGCTTCAGGAAAGATACCGTTCGGATACTTCTTGCTTACACAATAGTAAATTAGTATAATAGTAAATCGTTTAATTCGTATGCGACAAGAACAATTTTCTAATACGGACTCCCACTCTTTTTTTATCGTTGCCTTTATGTGACGCTTGAGCGCGCTCGAGCATAAATTTTGCAGCTACCAATGTGTCGTCAGGTGGACCGAATACGACATACGGAGTTACAGCGATAAGCGAGTTGCCTGACGAAAAAAGTCGATTTAAAGAACGAACACGCGCGACTTTCTCGTCTCAAAAAAGCACCTTCACCCACGGAAGAAACGAATCACATACATTAGGGTAGCGTAACGTGTCTCGCCGTCATCTCTCGTTAATTGTCCATCGGGGTGAACGCGGAGCATTAAGATGATTTGTGAAAGACCGCGTTCCCCGGTTTCCCCTGTTAAATGTTACGAAGAGTCTTTCTTCTTTTTCAGCCTACCTGCGGAAGACGTGGATCTGCTACCAGTGCGGTAAGCGTTACCTGTGGCGCGGCTCCCTGAAGAATCACATGCGGGTGGAGTGCGGCAAGGAGCCGACCTTCAAGTGTCCCGTGTGCGGCAGGAAGTTCAAGCACAAGCATCGCTGGCAATCGCACGCGAAATGCATGCACAGCATCATTTTGTAACGCGAGGAAAATTACGCGAGATTATATAACTCCCTGACGACGTAATCGGAAATTATTTGAGTGTACAAACATAAAATTAGTAATTTAGAGAGAACGAAAGAGAGTGTATGTGTGTGTGTGTGTGCGTGTGCTTGTGAGAGAGAAAGGGAGAAAGAGGGAGAGAGGGAAGATGTGAAAAAATAAAAAAAAGAGAAAGTATTTTACGAGAAAAAGTACCGTGTGTATTATTTTTAGCTAAATGAACGGGATACGCAGACACGTATCGACATATTTCGTCAAGTCCCGTTTACATTGTACTTAGGGACTAAATAAAAAAGGCAGCTTTAAATATATTTTTCAACGGCGAGGTCAGTGCATTTTATAGTCATATTTTACTTCACAGTGTTAGTGAACTTTATAAGTTTAATTAATACTGAATTTAGTGATTAAGCTGTGTATAGATCAGTATTCGAGTTTATGAAATTATTCTACAAGAAGTTTCCCTCTTGGAGTTTGTTTTTGAACTGTAGTACTCAGGTGCAACACGTCACTCACGTGCAGAGAGCATCGCGTCGATATCGTCCGGTTTATTATTATAGTTGAGCATATATCTTCCTTATGATTTGTTATTTTCTCTCTCAGAAACATGTAAATAATTATCATAGGGATGGGATCAGAGGTGCAAGCTGAATAGTATTAATATCATCTTAGCGGCATGTTTTCTCTTTCTGTCGGACATTTTATCAGTATTTTCAAGCACGTCTTTTTGTTCTGCAATCGAATACGATGTAAGCACTTTAAAGCATAACATTCGCAATCGGAATATATCTTTTCTGAATATATATATATATATATATATCAATATTATTATATTATGTGGCTTCAAGTAAAAGACTGTGATATATGCCATCAGTCCAAATACATATTTCATCAAGTTTGAATTGCATCTCGCACCAACATCATGTGTCACGCACGTTCGATTACATACTTGATTGTAGCAACATCCTTTTACAAGTATGTGAAACAAATCCGTGATAATTTGTAAGTATTACTCAAGTTCAATGCAATCATATATTAGTGAGTCGACTAAGGATATACATCGAATGCTCGGTCCCATCCCTAAACATTACAGTGATCTATAATTATCGATATTGTTTTTATGTTTTAAATATTTAATATATATATATATATATATATATATTTAACACACACTCGAATTGTATTTTTGTGTATTTTCGCGCAGAATTACGCGAGATTTTTTCGTTTCTCCGAGTGCGGGCAATTTTCTGTATTGTACAATTAAGCGATACTCAAAGTAATCAGGAAATTCAATAAACGAATGAAAGATGGAACACATATATATATACACACATATATCACACGGGACAATGAAAGATCCAATCCTCTCGTTGACATTTATTTCGAAAGCGACGCGTAAAATAGAACAGAGACCATCACCTTATTCATCTCGACTGACTTTGAGATTAGGTTCTCGAACACAACGAGAAACGATCTATGAATCGAGGTAGCTATCGCTTTGATGCGCTTTCGATGTTGCGGACGAGAAATGCAGATTAGGCTGATCGATTTAATAATCACCGACGCTCTCTTTTCAGCGTCCATCAAGTCCTGGTCCTGCTACCGATGCGGCAAGCGATACATGTGGCGGGACTCCCTGAAGAAACACCTGCGCGTTGAGTGCGGAAAGGATCCGACTTTCGAGTGCCCGATCTGCGGCAGGAAATTCAAGCACAAGCATCGCTGGCAGTCGCACGCCAGACTGATACACTATATCAACATATGACCGGCGAACCGACTGACGAATCGCAAGGCGATCGACATGCGTGAATCTTCCCGCTGATCCTACTACGTTATTCCACGGAGTAGAAATTCCTTTGTAAATTGTGTACCATTGCAGAAGTATACCATCGTTGCGTAGCCGCGCGGAAAAAAAAGAAATTGGTTGAATTAAACTGAATTCAGGACACGTTAAACAGACTGGTGATAAACGGACGAATCATAATTTTGGCCCCGATAGACCAGACTGATCTGGTCACGTGTATTCCGGTTAAAGTGACCAGACAAGTTTGGTTACGATAATAAAATTATATTCTTATTTGTTACGTTTTTAACGGAAAGTTGTTTCTTAAGGTGTTGATGTATGATTCTTTTGGTTGAAATTAGCCATTCGGAAATTGATTCGATGACATATTACATTGTATTTGAAAAATTTGCCTCTACCTTAGTGGGATTATTGCCTTGATAATAGTTCGAAACCCGGGACCTCTTTGGATTATGAGTCGTCTGTTTAAGCGCTGTGCTGCACGAAAATAAAAACTTGCTAATATATGGACAACTAAAAATATTATATAACTATTATATATATTAGCAAATCTTTTAGCTATCACAACTAAATAACTTTGCTATGAAAACAAGAAAATTTGCTCCTGCAGCTAATATTTTTAGTTGTCCATATATTAGCAAATCTTTTTTTTCCGTGTGCTTTTTAAACAGATAGATCTGTTATATACTGTCTGCTTACGTTGTAACCAGCCATTGTATATGTGTTTATAATACTTGAATTATAACGTGTTTATAATGAATTATAACGTGTTTATAATATGTGAATATGTGCATTTATAATGACCAGAAATTTTGTTTAGCTCAACCAACAATCATTTAATCAAATATGTTGTTAATTCAGTCATGATCTTTTCTCGCGTGTAGTCATAATAACGAGACACTCGGATGTTATTACTACACACGCAGCAACCAAACTCTAACCGGTGCTGCAACTAAATGTTCTGGCTATACACATACACACACATGTTAATGGCCAGAAAGTCTGTTTATTCTCACCAAACTTGCTTAACCAAACATTGACGTTCACGCTGATTCAGCCAAGCTCTTTTTTACCGACGATATGATCGTTGTTGATGATATTTATACATTTGCTTTTTGATTGTCTTTACGGTTCGATTATGCGACAACGAGCGCCTGAGCGTCATCGAAAGATTGTAAATAAAACGATTACGTTCAAATATACCTCACAAAAATTCTCTCGCCTATACGTCTCATTACTAATTTCTAATTTAAAAAACGTCGAAGTGAGGCATTTGTTCGATGATTGATCACAACAGAAAATGTCTGTCTAATCTGGAATATTTATATGACGTTTAATTCTAGTGTAAAGGGCGTAGAATGCGTCTTGAGAATATAATATCGTGAGATTTCGATTTTCTTCTACTCGTAAAATAAAAACGATCTCGATTCACTCACAAATTCATAGTTAAGGAGGTTCCAACGGCACTCTCTAGTCAATTAGTATCTTATTAATGAAGTTATTTAAAATGACACTAAAATATAATTTTGCGACAATATTAGTGAGATGAAATTTGTAATAAATATATATATATATATATATATATTTATTTATTTATTTATTTATTTATTTATTTATATTTATATATTTATATATATACAGGATGTCTCACACTCTCCTCCGGGCATTTTGTGGGGACGTAAAACAGGTTGAGGTGAACATAAAAGTCCTATATTTTGCGATATTCGCAATAATTATCGAGATATTAATTGTAGAAAACTTGTAAATAATCATGCAGAATATGGTAAATGAATTATAGTAGCGACGACTGCCGTCATGTACTTATACTTTAGGTCAAATTGAACAAAAAAGTCTACTATTTTCCAAATAATCGCATAGATTTTTAATTATTAATTAAAGAAGATTATTGCACGATTTTGCGTGAAAATGCACTCATCTTCTTTAATTAATAATTAAAAATCTATGTGATTATTTGCAAAATGGTAGAGGACTTTTTTGTTCAATTTGACCTAAAGTATAAGTACACGACGGCAGTCGTCGCTATTATAACTCATTTACCATATCCTGCATGATCATTCACAAATTTTTTACAATTAATATCTCGATAATTATTACGAATACCTCAAAACAGTATAGGACTTTTATATTCACCTCAACCTGTTCTACGTCCCCACAAAATGCCCGGAGGAGAGTGTGAGACATCCTATTCTTTATTTTGAAAATTATCAAGTAGTTTAAAAGTGACAAGATAAAGACACTGACTCATGTGATGTAATAATGTACTCATTATTGTAAATGATTTATTTTATTTTATTTAAATTGAAAATGTGTGCATAGATATGTTATATTAAAATAATTAGTAAGTATAGAAATGTGTGAATATACAGGAATGATATTATGAACTTATTTCAGAACTAATGCTAACTATTATCGCACACGTATGCAGTGTGTATTGTCATATTTTCTCTCGCTTATTGTCGACTTTACGAATTTTCTTGTCAAAAAATTTAAATTTCTCTTCAAGCTGACAGTAAATTTATATAATACTTCACTAAAAAATATATCTATAAATATTCGTTTTGTTTTTTTGTAAACTTGGAAGTTTACAATTTTATAAACTTCTGCCTCATGTACAAATATACCAAATTAGAAGAAATTTCTTATACTATAGAAGTTCTGCATATGCTTATACAATAAGACTTTACAATTTCATATTTCGAAAACGACACGGTAGAGATTATTGAAACTTTTATTACGCATTGTTAGTTTGATCGAATTTAGTATTGTGTGCACATATTATAAGTCTATCTTATATTTGGCCAGACGCTAGAACCTCCTTAATGATTTCATTAATGACTAATTAACGATACTCATTAACAACGAGATAAACGCGTCGAAATCTTGATTCTCTTGTATCGATCGCGCCCGAGATGATTTCCTTTCGAAGATGTTACTAACCAAAAGCCGCTATCACTTTCAGGGGACGAGGAAATAATCGAGTTCATCACGACCCAGTTATCCTATCCGAACTGCGGGGGAGGTTACGCAAACGGTGCTGAGATGATGAACGTGATAAAAAACTTTTTTCGGATTTTTCCTTTCCCAAACGCGACGGAGAGATGCAAATAGCTCACAAACGACACTTGACATTGTAAAAAATGGACGTGTATATATTCCAGAGGAGAAATAAACACCGCGTATTTTTCAATAAATGGATTCTTCTTTCGATCGTCTAGTCGATGTCTGATCGTCTATTGCATTGTGAATTAACACTAACCGTAATTAAATCATCCTGTTCTATCTGTATTATAGATGAAACTGTAACTTGTAGAGAAGAAAGAATTGTTAACCAGAATTAGTTAATCCTATAGTTGCCTATCGATGTAACCGAGTTTGAAAAATACGATAACCAACGGTCGCCATTTCGTGGGAAATCAGACAAGTGATATTTTCGGAGCGGTGAGATACGCTCATACACGATTATTTTTATCAACTTCAACAACAGGTTCAATTTACGGTGCCATGTTTCGAGCAAGTGAACATCGTCGAGTGAAGTTTCTGCGGTAGAATTTGGTCTCAGGAAGCCGTATATATTTCGTTTCTTTCTTGTCTAATGTCCCACGAATAGCAGTAGACCATTCGACCCAAAAACGAGACAGGAACATATGCCACTGCTCTACCGTCGCTATAATTTAATCTTCCATTCTTTTTTCTTTTGTTTTTCAGTCCCGCGGCTAATCATCAAGAGGATAGAGACGTTGAAATACGCGAACAGACAGGTGAGCTTCCAGTGCACGAGATGCGGCAAGAGTTATCAGTTGGAAACGTCGCTACGAAGACACCAGAGACTGGAGTGCGGCGTCGAGCCCAGACACGAGTGTCAAATATGCGGCAAGAAGTTCACGTACAGATTCATATTAACTCCTCATTTAAGATCCTGCAGGAAAAAGAGAGCGCTCTACGAAGTGATATAATCGAGACTCGTGGCGTTGAAGACCGCGCCGTCTTTAAAGATCCATGAACAGCGGTCTCTTTCTCGTTCGTGCACGAATTTGCGAAGATTGTTTTGCGATATAATACAACTCTTTCCAGTTGAGCGTTGTATCTTTCAAGGTGACAACTTATTTTTAGGAAGAGAATATATAATTCGTTGCTAAGTATTTATAGATCGATATTGATATCATATTTCTCTATGCACATCTCTCCAAATAATGAGTCTTCTTTCGTGCTTTCGAGAGAATTCCTAATGTGAATCACAGAGTCAATGGTTCGTTAGTTTTATTTGACAAGATTAATATGAGGAACGAAATAATTGAGCGTCTCGCTTTCTCAATCTCCTGAAAAGAGAGAGCTGTCAACGAAGTGTCTTAATAAACCCGCGATCGCGCGCAAAATAACGTTTGTATAACTCAATGCTGTGCGATACCTTCATACTAAAGCGTAAGTGATAAATGAATTCTGGAATGTTCGTATTGAAAAATATGATGAACTATCAAAGAAATTGTCAGCGATGCATTTCCGTCCCCCTCATCATACTAAATTAACAGTAGAATCTACAGATGTAAACCTAAATTTGCATTTCTGTTAATAAAATGTCTAATGTTTACTAATGAAAATGTTTAAAAAACCATCTGTTGATATCATATAATAAAAGTCGTAATGCATTATATTAATTACGTTTAGTCGATTATTCCTACTCTTTTGGCGTCTATTTATATGCCTACAAAATAATATCTGAGAACTGTAATAACGGATTATAATGTCCACTTTGTACAGAAGTTCGCAATAGCATGCCTTGCACTTTCTTCTTTTATTTTTTTTTATTTTTCTTTTAATTTTCTCATTTCGTCTCCTCACAATCCCGATCTTTTCTCTCATAAATTACTATCTCTCTTCTACATCACAGCACTTCCATCGGCAGCGCATTTCTCTTTAGCTTGCAACAATTAAATTTCAGTTACGCTCGGGCAACTTTCGGGCGAATTGATTTCCCGATCGGGGCGGAATTCCTAACTGCACGAACCTAAGCACTGCAATGCTTGCCAGACACCGGCAATAATCAACGAACTGATAAAAGGTTTCCCCGACGCATTAATTTTATTAAAATACTTATAAAGAATTAATTAATTACCAATACAATCGTCCGTACTATTTAATTTTTAGCATCTTGTACATCTGTGATAGAATTACACAACAGAATATTACATCTTGTAATAGAATTTTCTTTTTTTTCTATCTTTAGAAATAACATATTGAGGAATTTTTAGCACTTAAATGTCTAGGCGACAAAAAGCATTCCTTGAATATTCTAATTGTCGTATCTCATTAATTAAAAAAAAAATGTTATAAATCATAAGAGATATGTTAACGGTGTCGACATCTCTTTCTCCAGTTTTCTCAGCAACAAAATTGCACTTTATTCAAGAGTGAAGTGGACATAATGTCAAATTTTTATCATGATTGATTTATTTAAATGATTAATTTATTTGAATGAATTAATTTCGATCATTTCATATATCGCGCGCGCGCTCTTCGATTTTTCAATTAAATCGGAGAAATCGGCATGCCAAAACCACGTGCACCTATCCAAGCCCCTTGTATCTTTAATAGACTTCCTTGTACGTCGCACAGGAAATCCGTTAGAGATAAAAGGATCGAAATTACCATTTCCTTTCGCCTACCTCCTCCCCGCCAATGTCGTGCCGACTGTGCGCGTGTATTTTTAATCGATGTCGTTCGGATCAGTTGATTCCTGGTTCGCGCGGAGAACATGAGCATGTTCAGGCGACAAATCAGGACCGCGCGTCTAACCACGTTGTCCTCTCGTTCCAGATCTGCTGACGTCGATGTTGCTGTCGCAGCCAAACAATAGCGAATTGTCGTGGGGCCAGAATTACGGCGGCTACAAGCCCAGGAATCTCCGGAGGAAGAACCCGATCGACGCAAAATACGCGTGCAACAGGTGCGGGAAAACGTACAAGGCGACGACGTCTTTGAGCCGGCACAAGCGGCTCGAATGTGGCGTCGTGCCTTGCGAAGTGTGTCCTCTCTGTGGCCGCAGATTCAAGCACAGGTTCGTCTTGAACGCCCACGTCATCGGCTGCGAGAGGAGAATGAATCAAGTGGGGCAGAAGAAGGACTACGATTAAGGAGTAGTCGCAGCTTTTCGATCGAGAACCAGTGACAACAATACAACTCGCTTAGCCAGGTCGCGGGCTACTCCGAAGAAGAGCGGAGAACAAGTTGAGACATTGCCGATTGGCGCAATGTTTGCGAACATTTGGCGCAGGGTGTATTGCCTGTATCTCAAGGATGATGAACAAATTTGAAAAAGAATTTGTGATTGATCTGTTTTTTTGCATCTGAAATAATTTGACAAATAATTTGACGTTGATTCAGAATTCTGGATCAGAAACCAAATAAAGTATCTAATTATCATAATTGTAATAACTATCATAATTATTTACAAAGTCAACAATCGATGGTGAAAAGAAAAGACTACAATTGTTTTAAATTATATTTATAAAATATACTATGTATGAGTTAATAATTAAATTTATATTATATATAACGATATAAATGTTTTATTATATTGATGCAACTACGAATTTATTAAAAGTTACATTCAAATTTTTATGTTACATCTGACATGACGTGCTGTTCTGAGCAAATTTCGATCATTATTTTCGACTTTCTTTCGTATTTCCATTTCACCGCTCAATGTGATAAATATGAACGTCATATGAATTATTCTTAAGGGATGAAAATTTTACAAATTGAGTGGCAACAAAATGTTTGCCACATTTAGGTATACCTGTCTATCTGAAAAGTTTTATTCCGCTTTCAGATGTAAGCCCAGTAAGCATGATGACGTCAAATGATGTTTTAATAACGTATTGATACTATCTCTAATGTCCATAATATGTTATTAATATATCATTTGATGTTATTCTGCTACTTAGAAGTAAACTGTTCTAAACATATATTATGTTCTAAACATATGTTTCATATGTTTCATATTTCTAAATATATGTTTCATATGTTTCATATTTCTAAATATATGTTTCATATGTTTCTAAACATATATTATGTTGCTATCTTAAAGGAAAAAATTATTAAAAAATAAGAACAAAATTGCAATTTTTTTATATATGTACTTTAAATATCCAAAATGTTCTATGCAAAGTTTTATTGTGATCCAGTAATAAAATTTAAATAATCAGAAGTAAATAAACGTAAGATATAGTAGATATAGTACAAAAATGTGATGTTAAAGTAAAAATACGTTGTTCAACTTGGATCGTGTATATCGCATCGTAAACATTTTCATGCGGAAAATAGAAATACTATTTCTAATTTTCGGGGAGACATATTTTGCAAGGATTATATGGGCAATACATCCTTAAGCCATGAAAACGAGAATGTGAAACAAGAGGCTGTCTAAATTTTGGTGAATAGAACTTTGATATTTTCACTTTTGCATAGAAGAAATATTCATATATCGTGTCACTGTGACACTTCTATTCATTTTATATAACGGGAAAGTTGAGAGAAACAGTTAGCAAATCCTCCGTTAACGCGAATGACAAACATGATAAGAGTGTATGTGTACGAATTGATAAAGGGCAAATATTGTTTACTCGAGCAAGTATATTTCGTATATTAGATTCTCTTACGAACGGTGTGTGCTTTTAATCGAACATTGCGATCAACGTATTATATTATTTGTTTATATAAATTGAGTCATACAAGGACAGTCACGAGCCGTTGTTGTTCAGACCAAACGAGATATTATTTCAGTACACGGTTTCGCAGACGGTGGCTTCTACTACGTGTATCGATGAATAAAAATTCCGTTTAGTAATAAACCATTTATTTTTATTCTGTACTAAATTTTTGTAATAGTCTGACGCATTAACACCTAATATATACGCGTATGTATCATACATAATGAGAATATAAAACTGTCGAAACATAGTCACGCGCTTTATTGTTTTGTCCTGATCTCTCTCAAGCTGATCTGTGCGACTGTCGCAAATGCACCGTTTTCGCATATTAACCGAAAAGCCAATCAGTGTTAACATTCATTACTGACAGACGCATTAAAAGCGGTGAGCGAGAGGCCCGTAAATATTATTTTAAACTGCGTGAGAGAGCCCTGTATTCATGAAATCGCATCATCATTGTACATCTACTTCGTGCTGTGTGTTATTCGGCTAATATTTGTAAAAATAACAATCGATAATACACCTCGTAGGGAGCTGATATGCAGGGTGTTCCAATTATCAGACATTTCTTTTAAACAACAGATGATAAATCAAGGAGTAAGATGCAGACGTTTTGAAGCCAAAACATCGAGACACTTTTTGTTTGAGTCATTATACATTGATCAATGCGAAGGAATAACAATTTAAGAAAAAAAATGTACGTAAATAAAAATGTATTTCTCATTAAATATGGAGTTTTTTAGAATTGGAACTTCTACCCAAAGTTGCAATGTGTGTCTCTAACGCTATACATTAAATATTATGAAGAGAACCAAAAGGTATTAAGAGAGAGAGAGAAAGAGAGAAGGAAAATGAACCTTAAAGTGACCGAAATATTTTGGAATATCTTGTAAAAAGCTCACATGGGAATGTATTCCACGTGATCTGTTCTTTTTCCGCGTGGTATATGTGCAGTCTTGTCTATTTTATCTTTTTGCTGATGAAAAACGCATTTCTCAAACTTTTCTCAATTTTATGCTCATGTTTTTCTCTGCTATTGTAGTCTAAATCAGCAAAGTAATGTTTGACATCGAACTTTTATTTTTAAAGCCAAATTTATTATTTGACGGCATTATTATTTTTCTACGTTACTATGTAACGACAAAGATTGTTCCTTGACAATCTTGAAAATCGCATGTATTTATAATTTGCGGACCGTATTGCCATCATTTATAGATGATTGTCTTTTTTTCTAAAATAATGTATATGCAGTCTACTTTAATCAATTTTCACTTGTTGAGCTACATTTGTTCTTAATGAAATGTTGAAAATTTGATATAATTGGCATTCTCAGATTCCATGCATGGCGTCGATTCGACCTTTTTTACAATCACTATTATATACGGATCTTACTGCTATGATATGAAATAAGCTCCTCCGTTAAAATAAGTCCCGATAAACTAATGATCACGTGTGTTAAACAATGTTCCAACAAAGATCTAGATTTCAACCCAATCTGAATTACATTTCCTGCTGATCGTGCTTGTTTACATTCGCCCGAAATTATGTCTGCCCTCAACAACAATCTCGCAGAGCGAACGCGAATCGTCGACTCACAAGATCTTCTCACTCACGTTTGTTTTATGTCAGCAGGACTTATCGTGAGCAACGTGTGGAGTTTGTGTCGCGACTTGAAAGACATGGCAGCGGATGATGACTATCTAAAAGCGAAAAGCTTGATCGACCCCGCATTTCGTATGATTGTGGAAAACATGGACGACCCGAGCATACGGCAGAAGTTTACGTGCGACACTTGCGGGAAGAGTTACTCGTGGATGTGCAGTCTTCGTCGGCATCAGCTCCAATGCGGTAACAAGGAAGCGAGGAACAAGTGCGAAATCTGCGCGAGAAGATTCTATAGACGCGACAGATATAAGGAGCACTTGCAAACACATTTCTGCTAACTCGTCTTTCAAATGTGAGCCTTCGAAGGGATCGCGAAACTATTTAGCCAAAAAGAAATAAAACTGAAGCTACCAAGCCTGTTCTGTAATTCTTTGTTTTATTGCTCTATTAACGAGATATACGTTGTTTCCATTCGCGAAAATTGTATTTTGTATGTTATGTTTATGCTTTGCGCTACATGCCTTTTCTTCGAGCGTTTTCAGAGATTTAACGCTAAAGGTAAAGGAAATATAGGCAGAAATGACATTTATTACACTGTAAAAACTGATGTGTTAAATTTAATATTTCATATGTCCCAAATCATCCACTCTCATTTATATGTAAATTTAACACAAAACAAATGTGGTAAAAAGTAACATGCACAAGAAGTAAAAAATTAATATAAGAATTTAACACTTGAATACCATCAAAAATTACAGTTTGTATTAAATTGACATATGTATAATGTTAAATTAACTAAAATAAAACATTACTTTAACATTTGAGAGAAGTATTAATCTATGGTTTTGATGAAATGAAAATGTTAAATTGACATAATCTATGTCTGACATATTAAATATGTCAATTTCATACAACCTGTGATTCCTAACGGTATTCAAGTATTAAATTCTTGTGTTAATTTTTTTCATATTATGCGCGTTACTTTTTAACACATTTGTTTTGTGTTAAATTTATTTCATAAATGAGAGTGAATGATTTGGGACACATAAAATGTGTTAAATTTAACACATCAGTTTTTACAATGTATAAATGAATTAGAATGAAGTTAAACTTATTTGCAGAATACAGAATCGCAAAGGGTACACATATGTAACAATACAGCTGCAATATAAGTGTTGAAAAATTACAGAACAGGTCTACAAGAGCACTTAATGTTTCGTGTATGCGTACAAAATGTAGTAATTTATTCTACATTTTCGTGCAGTCGTATTGGTAATTGTAATGTACACAGAGAGACTTATGCTATATTCTGTTTTATATAATATCCTTGTACATGCATATGATATATGTCTCTCATATATGTGTCATCATGTATCATTTTTTTTAGTGCACTCTCGAGGAGAAGAGTTGAATTTCCCTTCATATCGTACACATTTGATTTTGCTCCTGAAATTCTGTTAATATCGCGATAGAACAATCGACTATCGATAAGAAATGTGATTGATCTATTTTCGTAGCTTGGTAATATATTAAGCATTGAAAGAACGTGAGGATTATTAATATTTTTTTTCCTATTCTAATACATGAATATTATGAGACATTGCTAGAAATACCATTGCGTAACTATTGATTGTTATTTGTTACAACTTCTGAGAAAAATTTTAAAAGAGTTACTTGCTAAGTTACATATTTGTTTTATTTGAACCGTATTATACTCAAATGAGATTTTACCAATAATAGTGCTGTGAAGAAATAAACAAATATAATAATTAATAATTAATCCATCAAGATCAATATTATTAATGGACACTTGGATATGCATCCATATATTGCAATATAGTTTCTTTAATTATTTTAGAATAAACATTTTGACCCTCTCTCTCTTTCCCTCTTTTATAAAATGTTGTTGTGGCTATAATTGATGTACGACTAATATATGTATGTAAATTTTGTAATCTCTTTAAAGTATATTTATGTCTACGGATATGGGGTAACCAACGAATAAATCGATTATAGTACCTGGCAACAATAACTTATCGATACGAAATCATACATATGATTATTAGTTTGTAATATCGTTGTGAACAAAATTTTATATATGTATGCATGTATATGAGTATGATTGTGTGTGTGTATATGAGCATAATTATGCATTATCACTTTTTGACCTTAATTATTTTTAGGTATTATAATAATATATAAATTATAGTATTACATAAATTATATTGATGTTTTCGTCAAAATGAATGCGCGCATATCTTGTATTGTCCCATTTTTTGGCACAAATAAATTGTGTCGTGTGATTGTTCTACGCAATATTTTCGGTTAATATCTCATTTAATAATTACAGGTTTGTCAGCCTGCAATAACATTAACACGATGGAAATGTGCGAATTTAAAGTACTATCCCTTTTTCAATTCTAAAGAATATAATGTTTCTCACGTGCCTTCTTTTGGAAACATAATCTAAGATTGTCGATGGTTACTTGATTAATGTATAAAACTTGCGATCCTAATTCTTTTTTTGTTCATACTATTACTATACTAACGAGACCAAAAATTATATTTTCCCCAGAGTTACGATGTACGATTTCAATAAAAGGAAAGAGTTGCCGTTTTGCTGTTTTCAGTAAATACTTACATATAATCGTATAAGCGCGTAATAATTGTAATCCGTAAATTGTCGTTATACTACAAAGCAAAATATTTTCGTTTATCTTCAGTTGAAGATTCAAAAATTAAAAACGCGTCGCAATTTGGCCGGTTTCATAACTAATATAAACGATCTTAGACGGAGTCTTGGCTTCGTTCAACTTTAAGATCCGACTGTTGTCAATTAAACTATAATTAAAAAGTCAACGATCGATCACGAAGGCACAAATTAATGATCAATTTCCATGAACTGCAACGAGATACGTCGTTATTAAATGGTCATGAGGTCCCGGTATGATCATTAACACCCGACAAATAATATAACAATGCGACTGGTTGACCGGTATTCGCACAAATCACATCGATATCAGCCGCCATTGATTTTCCCCGAATAACGGGATCTTTCCGTGTTTCAGCCGGTGCTCTCATGGACGAGCTTAGCGGGTTGGAGTTAAACACCGCTGACTTACAATTAGACATGGCACGTGTACCTCTACCTTTGTTAAGTCGCGGCCAGGCAACGCCAACGCACGAGCAGCGTTACATGTGCGGCGAGTGCGGCAAAGGATACAAATGGATGGACAATCTGCGGCGACATCAGAGGCTGGAGTGCGGCAAGCAGCCCAAATACAATTGCAAGTTCTGCATGAAAAACTTTTACCGTCGATACGAACTGACCAATCACATGAACATGAAGCATAATCTGTAACCGATGCCCCCGTGATAAATGTTCGCACCTTAAAAAAAAATATATATACTGTTTTCCTCTTACATTTACGATTACACAGAGACTGAACCGATGATCAGTGAGTGGAAATCATTGATCAACGCCACGCGGTGTTTCCATCGGCTCTGAGATTAGACTGATAATATAGATTAAAATAATAATATAAATAATTAACTAGAAATTAAAATAAATAATTAAATTAATATAGATAATTATATCACTATTATATTAATTTACACATTTGTGAATTTTAAAATTATATCTGTAAAATCATATCTGAGTTTAATAGTAATAATAAAAATTTACAAATACATATTTTTTTAACATACTGAGTGCCACGCTAGACTTGAGTGACCAAAAGTCTGAATTCTCACGCACGGTCATATGCAGAGTCAAGTTACTTAAAAAATTGTCAATCGCGCGTGAGTTGTACTCAATTAAAAAAGTAAAATATTTAGATTATTTCCTTAATTAAAACCATTACCTTAAGTAGGTGGTGAAACTCTTGAGGAATCCAAATATGAATAACATGGTACTCAACAATTGATCCCGAGCTGCAGCTAGTATCATTTGAAAAAGAAGTTCTAATTTAGCCGAAAAATTTTCATGTATTTTCTAAAAGGATGAATAAAGAAATCAATATAAGGTTTTGACTATACTATTTATCATTGTTTTAAGTATAAGAAAATTAGTTAGAAAAAAAATTGTAAATTCTATACAGATTTTTGTACTAAGCGCGGTATAGCCGTATGCCTCCAACTGGTAAACAATATTATAGCGCGTGTAATAATCTGGAATAAATGGGACCAGAAAATTTAATACACTTTTTAAATTTTCTGTCTCATTTATTTCAGATTATACGAGTTGTAATGTAGTCTACCAGTTAGAAGCAGCCGACGATATCGCACAAAAAAGCTGGAAGACGAACTTTCAATTTTTTAATAAATAATAATAATAATAATAATAAAATAATAATAATAATCTTTTTATACTTAGAAAGCAATATAGCCAAAACTCCATATTGATATCTTTATCCATTTCTTTGGAAAAATTCATAAATACGTCCTATATTTTCGGCTATTTTTTCTAAATTAGAATCTTTTAATCAAACAATGACTTGCATCTGTTTGGACGATGTTAGTAGCAGTACAAGATCAATTAGCGTATTTCTTATAAATTTAAAATATTTTTTTCAATTATTATTTTATGTTATCCTAAAATGGTCAAATTAAGATATATATAAAAGTGATATAATTAATTATAATAATTTTAAAATTATTATTAACAATTTTTATTTAATTTTGAAGGTACATCAGGTTTTCCATTCTGGCCGTGATTACTCTGACTTGTTTATTTTGATGTTAATCTTATAATATGATAACATTGTTATACAACGGCTTTATTGTACGCACACTATATAGAAATAAAGTGATCTATGAATAGAACATAATGTAAATGCGTGGAAAATACATTCTGAGGTGAATGTTACCTATTTCTATATTGTGTTTACTTTGTTCCCAGGAAGATGTTACCCATTTCTATTTTGCGTTTATTTTGTTCATTCTTTATATTATAGCGAATAAAACCCACACTCACCATTGTCATGCAACATTACAATATTTTAGATTGTCGAATTTATAAATACAAGATGCAAATAGATATTTAGGTATAATAATCATTCTTTCCTCTCCTGAATTCACCGATAAAAATAATCGAATTGGTCTGCAATAATAACTGAACGCCTACTGAATTTATTGTACTTTGCAAGTCTTTACTCTTAAGTACTCCATGCAAATTCATTTATTAGCAGTCTCATGTTTATGTTTCTACCAACAAAATCATTATATTTCTCCAATTTATTGACAATAATGCATTTATGGGCGCTCCCTCCTCTCTCTCTCTTTCTCTGTCTGTCTCTCTTTCTCTCTCCTCTCTCTCCTTCTTTTTCTTTCTTTCTTTCTATATATACACACATATACATATATATGTATATGTATATAAATATATGTGTATATGTGTGTATGTGTGCATATGCATGTGGTTATATCTTTCGCCCAAAATTTGTCCCGTTCTTCGTCTTTACGATGCGTAAATTGTCTGAGTGCATTTAACGAATGTTCCCCATTTTTTTATCTTTTTTTTTTATAGATGACATGGAGCTGAGTGAGTGGCTCGTGAATCACGAACTGTCCGTGAAGCAGGAAATCGACAACGACATGTCGCAAAGTTACTACGAGTTCGTCACCACCGATTACGAGCTATCACCGGATACTATGGAGCATCGCAAGAAGAACATGATCCCGCGCGTTTGTCAGGAATGTGGCAAGAGTTTCTCAAGGGCCGACAGCCTAAAGAGACACGAGAGGCTCTATTGCAGAGTGAAAAGCGAAATTAAATGTTGTATTTATTGTGGCGAGAAGTTCGTCAAGCCGCAGTCCCTGCGCCAGCATATAAATGCTGTTCATGCGGCTGAGCTAAGAGATAAGACCTCGGTCAAAGATGAGCACAAGTGAACGTAGACTTTCTCTCGCGTTTCTTTCGTGCCGCGAAGAAAAAGAGCACTTCTCCGTGTTAATTCGGGAACCATGTAACGTATTTGTATCGCATAGATTTTTAGTGTAGTTTGTCTAGGCGTGTCGCAGGCGTGTCTCAATTATAATTTCATTGCAAGTTTACAATATATCTTACTAAACTTATAAGTGAACAATAAAAGAGGAAGGAGTGTACGGTTAAGTAATCGTTTATACGCGCGGGCTGTCTAAGGACAAAATTATAAGTACCTGGTGCACGCGATATGTATTTGAAAAGGCGAATGATTTTATCAACTGATTGTTATCTGCCGTTCTGGATGTGTAATGTATATGACACCAAACATGTACGTTTATAAGGGTAGCTTATTTCGCGACTAACATTTGGCCTGCTATGTTCTAGGCCTTCTTCGCGTCTACAAGAGTTACCTCTTTGTAATTGTGAACATGCATGTGGAAATGCATGTTATAAAATCACATGTGTCCACGTAGCCTCATTATTTTTCTAAATAAATAAATATGCAGATTTCGAGAAGGTAGCTCTTTTTCTCTTTCTCATTCTCTCTCTCTTTCTCTCTCTCTCTCTCTCTCTCTCTCTCTCTCTCTCTCTCTCTCTCTCTCTCTCTCTCTCTCTCTCTGTTGCCAAATTTCCAAACCCTAATCGAAACTCTTACTCGAAATACATAAGAAGAAATGTATACCACACACTTGAGACCGTTTCTCAATATCGTTCTCTCTAATCTTTCGATAAAAAGTATCCTAGAAAGTCTCCGTACGACTAACGATCGAGCTTGTCAAGATAATTTCTAATTCTCCTCTATACTTTGCCCGACCCTACAATTATTACTAAACTCGAAATCAGAAGGTAATTCGTGAGAACATGCATGCCGCCGGCTGTACGATGCTCGCTTGCTGGTCGTTCTCGCGCGTGTCCTCCTTCTTTTTAACGGGCTATCGTGTCTTTGCAGACGAGAACGGGCAGTGCGGCAGCGCGGACAAGAGCAACGACGAGGAGGCGGAAGTGTGCGAGGTGCCGTTCCACGGCCAGCTGACGATGAACTACCTGCTCTGCGACTCCTCGATCCTGAACAGCGTGGAGACCAACGTGGTGCAGAAAAGCGCGAAGACCTGTCAGCAATTCCGCTGTGACGGCTGCGGCAGAGCTTACACGCGAGTCGACAGCCTGAAGCGTCATCAGCAGAAGTGTGACGAATTCTTGGCGTCCTTTCAAGATCGGCAGGAGAAGCTGGAGAGGCTCCAGCAGCAGGAGTACTATTGCAATCAGTGCGGCAAGACGTACAGAAGGCTAGACACCCTGCGCCGGCATCAGCGGCTGGTGTGCGGTGACAAGGAGAGTAATCACGCCTTGAAAGTGGACAAGGCGAGCCTATAAGGAGGAACGAGTCGCGGTGACGAGCCCTGTTGCTCGATTCCTGAAATAATTGGCGTGTGTCGGTGCGATTGAGTGTTGTTACCGTCTTTATGAACAGGACTGCACGGGACCGGTGTTCCTCCGGATCTCGAAGTGTCGGCTATGTATTATCATTCGTTTAAACGCGCGCTCTCTTACACGGGGGAAAACTCTCTGTTCGTGTGAGTGGACCAGACGGAAAACTCGCGAACAAGAAATAATATCCTTGTTACCGAAAACATTATTTTTCATTTCGTTTGAACATTCAACTGTATTGAAACTCAATTGAGATAACTGAGAACAATTGACTGAGCAGAAACCTCTTACGGGAGGTTCCTTTTTGTTCATACAACCGAATTTTTCATTTGTTCCTCAGAAAACAGAAGATTCATTTACACTAATAGAGTTGTCTTTCCCGTGTGTGTAAGTGAGGAGAGTCGTCCCGCTTGGGCGCGAACAGTTGAATTTCCCATAAATCAGATTGTAGCGTATTATTAATTGTGCAATACTGTCATCTTGCTTCATTAAGGATATGGAACAAGGATATGAAATATGCTATTCATTTTTCTTGTATATTCTTACGCAGTTGACGTGTATGAGAGAACGAGAGAAAGGAAAAAAAAGAGATCTAGATTCTTCTTTATGGCCAATACACGAAGATACATTGTGAGAATTCTACTTATATGAGAAAAATATTTACAAAATGTGTCCACAAGATCCAAAAAAGAATATGTAAATAAGTCTCTAATGTTCGATTTAAATTTTAAATGGTAGGATATTTAGATAAATATATTACTCAACTATGGCAATCACTGTGCAGATCATTGAAACCATATTGATTTCATATAAATAATATATGTTTCGCCATCATCAACAAATAAAGATTTTTCTCCTAAGCAACTGTCAGTTTATTAAGTACATAATATCAGACTAAAACATTGCAAATTAAATACGTGTGCGTACTCGGCTTCTTTTTCTGTATCTGACTAACTACGTAAAAAGATGCATGTAAAGTTTGCATCGCAAATGTGTACATCGGAAAAATTAGAATTGCAGAGTTCATTCTTTTGTCACGAATATCATGCGATAACATTTATAGCTTTCTAAACGCGGAAAAAAAATTACAAAAAAATATTAACAGAAAAACAAATATTATGCCGCTTAAGGAGGTTGTAAAGCAAAATGAGTTTGTTAGAGATTCATTGAAACTCGCACTATATATAAATTGAAATATTATTTAACTCTTCGTATGATTAAGCAAAAAGATTGACCATTCGAGACTTGAGATATTTGAAACTAAAGTTGATCCTTCTTATATGTTTGTTAAGGTTAATATGTTATTTTTAATTTTTCTTGCAAATCGAAATTAGAATTTTAATGAAAAACTACTATGATATTAAAGACTAGTGTAACGATGTAATGTAATTATACACAAATTCCGGGATTATTGACCGTCTTATTTGGAAAATACAGCGCTGGAAACTTCATAATTTATAGTAACACTTGAGATACATATACTCGTCCAAACATTTCTTTATGTCAAATTAACATTTATTACATAGATAGTGAAATAAGTATATGGAAATGTAATTTTGTTCGATAAATAGTCAGTTTATGAATGATCCTTTTGATGCGCCACTTTGAAGAGATATACGACATTATGTCTTACAACCTCTTTAATTCCTGTGAGCTTGCATCTCGAATCTAAAATAATCGCGATGCTATGGAAATTCACTCGGTCTCGAAGTAAGACACTGTCAAATCAAAGATCCCATCCACACGAAAGAATCCATCGTGAGGAAGTTCTTCATGCACGAGTAGCGTACTAACAAGGAAATTTGCTCGGTAACTTGGTAGCCCACGTTACAGAACAAATCTGAAGGGACTCCCCTGCTTAAAAAAAATCATGTACGACAAGGACTAATAGAAATATATGCAAATTTCATTAAAATACTATACAACTTAATCTGAACTTATCATTTCGATTGGAAATTTAAATTTCTCCCATTTCATAAAAAAAAAAATTACATAAAAAAAATGTCAGCAATTCCTTCCGTTTTATATCGTAACTTATTTTTAACGACCAAATATTTATATATATAAATATTTACGCATAATTTTATCATTTTTCATCGAAGACACAATTCAGCTATGTAGATTTTTCTCATATATTTCTATCATAATCTTCTAAGCAGGGTCGTTGCGCGCCGGGAGTATTCTCATTAGCCTTGAATTTTTCGATCACATGCATGTCTACATTACACCGCATTTGTGCGTTACGAGCTAATCTCGAGTCGAATGGCGCGAAGTGATCGCGAATAATTCGACCCCCCGTTTCGCGAGCGATCCGGACGGACGTCGCCTAATCTCCGGTGCTCTGCTTTCTTGCCGCAGGGGAGGACCAGCCACAGGGATATGACGCCCTGTGGATGCTGGAGAGGAAGGCGCGCAGCATCGGCCAAGAGGAGCAGGAGTCCCTGCCGTTCCCGAGCAAGTCGTATTCTTCGTCGAAGGTGCACGACTCCTCGGGACCCGGCTCGTATCCCGTCGCTCATATGTACACCGGGGACTCCTACATACCGATGATGCAAGCCGAATACATCTGCACCGACTGCGGCAAGAAGTACAAGTGGCAGGACAGTCTGAAAAGGCACCAGAGAGTGGACTGCGGTAACAAGGAGAAGAAGTTCTCCTGCCACATGTGCGACCGGAAGTTTAAGTACCGATACGAATTGCGAAACCATATCACCGCGCATCACATCATCGGCTGACTCTTTGCCCGCGGGTGATTCGCGTTGAGACAGGCTCACGATTTGAAGGGAGAGTGCGACCCGCAAGACAATTAACATACCGAGAGTTGCACGATCCTGTATCTCCCGTCGCGACGCTCGGAATACTTGTGATCTGAATTGAGACTGAACGAGGTAGAGATTTGTCTCCGAATTGTCTTTGATTTTCGTACGACATGCGGCGACATTAAGACAATGCAGTTTCATAATTTGCACTGTTCTCTTATTTGGTTGCAAAGTAGAAGTGCAAATGTCAATGCATGAGAACACAACAAATATTAAAATTGTATCAAATTAAAAGATTGTTTTATTTGCAAAACTTTTCTGTTTTTGGAATATTTGGTGCCTTTCCATCAATTGACACTTGTACTTTCACTTTACAAGAGCACTTGCAATTCCATGCAATGAAATAAAAAGACAAACTATGAAACTACATTACGTCGGTATCCTCTTAAGAACAGACGAGCCATTTTATGACCGCATAGGTCTGTATACATACCGACTACTTTTGTGATGCCTGAGAATCGGTAGTCTGATACGGACGTGTTTAGTCAGTAGTCTGATACGGACTCTTGGTTGCTCACCGCGGCCATGTTGAATCGTGACGTCAGAGGCAAAAAATGATACGCTGAGAATTCTTGCGTGCCATTTTCAAATAAAAAGATATTTAAATGAAAGAATACTTCATATCGCCTAGATAGAAGTCATCTTTATTCTAGTAAGTTCTTTTTAACTCGAAACCTTCCGAAATCTGAATTATAAGAAAAGGATAGTTTCCGAAACATTACAAGTATACTCAAATGTTCTATCGCTCAAATATCTTTTTATTTGAAAATAGCACGTAAGAATTTTGAACGTGCACTTTTTCGCTTCTGGCATCATCAATCAAGAGTTTCGCGATGAGGAACGAGGAGCCTTAAAGAAATAAAGGAATGAAGATATGAATATAAAGGATATTTTCTGTCACGCAAGCGTGACGGTGATGGATAAAAGGAGAAATTGAAATTAAGTAATTTATTTGTATCACGAGATACGCTACACCACACACACACACACACACACACACACACACACACACACACACAC